CTGAAGCCCTTTAAATGTATTTTCTGGGGAGCCATACTGTGTGGCCAAAAATGGAGAGACAACTTTTAAAAACAAAGCTATCATTTGCACCAGGAACATAATTGTATCCCCAGCCAACACAATGCATGAGTGAACTTTCATCAGTGGTGGCTTGCATTCTCAACTACAATGATGAACAGATGTCAAGGGCAATTTCTACAGTGAGATGAACTAGAAAGAAGGCCCAATGGTCTACTTTCGCAACTCTGCCCATAAAACTCTAAGTCTGATTGGCATCGGGATGTTCCCGGAGGACGTGGCCTTTGGTTCCACTGTGCATAAGGCGTCCATGCGGTAGGGACTGGCTGGAAGGCAACCACCCACAAGGAACATCAGAGCAGCCTACCATTAGGAAAAGTGAGGATCGGCATTCCCTACTGCACAACAAATAATGGCATCAGGAGGCATCATGCTTTATTTCAGATTCCTCCCTGTCAAGAATGAGAACACCTGTGGAAAGTGGAAGGTGACACGTTCCCCCATTTTCCTGTTCTGACCAGTTGTGACAATCCACTCTGAATATGAAGCAAAGCCTTTTTCTCTGATTCATCCATTTGTCCTTAGATGAAACTCCTAGCAGCAGAAGTCTTTGGGGAATCGCAGATGTAATCAAGATTGGAGCTGATTTCCATTCCCAGATGTTGAGCAATCACAGATTCGAGGATGCAATCCCGGGGTCATGGTCAAAGTTACTTGAGTCAGGCTTTCTCAATCCTGGCAGTATTGATGCTTTGATCATTATTTTTTTTGTGAGGTTGTCTTGTGTGTTGTAGAGTGCTTAGCAATCTCCTTGATTCTAGCAGCATCTCCAAGTGGTGAAAATCAAAAACGCCTGTAGACATTATCAAATATCTCTTAGAGTGGTGGTTCTCAACCTTCCTAATGCCGTGACCCTTTCATACAGTTCCTCATATTATGGTGACCCCCCAACCATAACATTATTTTTGTTGCTACTTCATCACTGTAATTTTGCTACTATTATGAATCAGGCGACCCCTGTGAAAGGGTTGTTTGATTCCCCCAAAAGAATCACGACCCACAGGTTAAGAATGGCTGTCTTAGAGGGATATTAGACACCACAGGGAGGGGTAGGGAGGACAATGAAATCATCCCAAGTGTAACAAAATAAACTCACTGCCAGTAAGTTGATTCTGACTCATGGTGACCCCATAGGACAGATTAGCACTGCCCCGGTGGTTTCCTGAGACTGTTCATCTGTAAGGAAGTAGAGAGCATCGTCATGCTCCTGTGGTTTAGCTGGTGGTTTTGAAGTGCTAAGCTTGCAATTAGCAGCCCAACAGGTAACCCACTGGGCCACTGGGACGCCTTACTCTTGACTAGGACCCACCAAACAGGGGTAGTGATCCAAGGATCGGAAAAGTCTCATTACCAAAAGTGACAAGCAGATTGCTTGGTAGGTTTTAATAGGTTATTTTAACTTACAAAAGAGGAAGAAAACAAGTCCCATTGCTGTTTTAACTAGCTAGATTGCTTGGTAGTTTTTAGCTAGACAGTTAAAACAACAATGAGGGCTCCTCCTATTCTCCTCTTCCTCGGTGTCCTCCTCATCCTCCTCCTTCTTCTCTTCTTCTTCTTCTTCTTCTTCTTCAGGAAGTTAAAATAATTACAGGCAAAGTCAGCGTTGCCTTTGACCAGACACCTCCCACGGTCTCCTGCTATGCTCCACAGAGTAAGCCTTATTTTCTATTTGATTACAGTTACGGACACATCCAACAGGGCCTCCCACCACTTGTCTGTCCGTTTGTTGTTACTGTGATGGCTTGTGGGTTGCCATAACGCAGAAGCTGTGCCGCTGGTATTTCAAATGCCCACAGAGCCACCCAAAAGGAGCAGCTTTCAGCGGAGCTTCTAGACTAAGACAGATAAGAAGGACTAAGTTGCCCCACTTCAGAGGAATTGGCCATTGAAGACCGTATGCATAGCTTCTAAACATTGTCAGATATGGAAGGCCTAATCGATGGAAGCAAAATATTATCAGCGGTAGTGCCCGAGGATGGGTCCCTCAGGTGGGAGGGCACTCAAAGTGTGACCGAGGAAGAGCTGCTTTCGTGAAGTGAAATAGACCCGTGGTGGCTTGAGGCGGGCAATTCTTGTGGGAGTGGATCCTTCAAGGTCTCCTCTGCTGTTGAGGCAAGACGCAAGATGAGGAGAAACAACTGCAGAATCTGTTAATGCTCAGAGCTGGCAATGCGTGAAATAGGACTCCAGAAAGATTGGAATTGGCCAAAAATGACATGGAACACATAAAGATTGATATCTCAGGCATGAATGAGATGAAATGGACAGCATATAGACCATTTTGAATCAGAAAATTATATGATTTATTCTGCTAGGAATAACACAATCAAGAGGAATGGTGTTGCATTCATTGTAAAATAAAAGGACATTTCTAATTCAATCTTGCAGTACAGTGTTGAACATGATAAGATTTTATCTATCCACCTTCACGGAAATCTAATAAATACAACTTTTTTTTTCAAATGTATGCACCAATCACGAAAGCTAGTGATGAAAAATTGGAGAATTCCACCAACTGCTTCAGTCAGAAATTGACCAAACCTGCAGGCAAGATTCATTGATAATTATTAGTGATTATAATAGGTTCAAACATAGGAACAATTGTGAGGATGGTGTGGGACTAGGAGACATTTCATTCTTTTTTTTTAAATCATTTTATTAGGGGCTCATGCAACTCATCACAATCCATACATACATCAATTGTGTAAAGTGCATTTATACATTCATTGCCCTCATCATTCTAAAAAAATTCCCCCCCAACTAAACCCCCCACAATAAGGCCCCCATTTTCCCCTCCCTCCCCGCTCCCCCCTCCCTCATGAGCCCTTGATAATTTATAAATTCTTATTTTGTCATATCTTGTCCTGTCCGATGTCTCCCTTCACCCACTTTTCTGTTGTCCATCCCCCAGGGAGGAGGTCACATATAGCTCCCTGTAATCGGTTCCCTCTTTCCAACCCGCTCTCCCTCTACCATCCCAGTATCGCCACTCACACTGGTCCTGTAGGGATCAGCCGCCCTGGGTTCCCTGTATTTCCAGTTCCTATCTGTATCAGTGTACATCTTCTGGTCTAGCCAGACTTGCAAGGTAGAATTCGTGTCATGATAGTGGGAGGGGAGTAAACATTTAAGAACTAGAGGAAAGTTGTATTTTTCATCATTGCTACATCGCACCCCAACTGGCTCGTCTCCTCCCCGAGGCCCCTCTGCAAGGGGATCTCCAGTGGCCTACTAATAGGCTTTGGGTCTCCACTCCGCATTCCCCCATCATTCACTATGGTAAGATTTTTTGTTCTGATGATGCCTTATACCTGAGAGACATTTCATTCTATGGTGCATAGGGTCCCTATCAGTTGGAACCAACTCAAGAGCACAATAAAATAGATTCTGAAGTCCTTATTCTTCAGACTCCTCAAAAATCATTACATCATATACTTTTATAAAGTTGTCATTTGGTTGAAAGTTTACTGAGCAAATTAAATTTCCATTGAACAACGCGTACACATGTTGTTTCATGGCATGGACTGGCATCCTCACACTGCTGTAGCACTCTCTCTTTCGCATTTCCATTTCCCTTATTTCCCATTCGTTCCTAACTTCTGGGATACATCAGTAGGCAAACGCCACACTTTTGATCTACCATGGCTGATTGTTCTAGAAATGAGTTGAGCATATGGCTGTTATTCACAGCTAAACACGGAGAGATCAGCAGCCCCTCTGCAGGAGAAAGATGAAGCTTTTTACTCCTGTAAAAGGCTACAGTGTTGGAAACCCAGACAGTTCTCCTCTCGCCCCATAGGGTTGCCGTGAGTCAGAATCAACTTGACGGCAGTGAGTATGGCTTGAAAGATGGGCAAGGGCAGGTGAGAGCTGGGGAAAGGGTGAGAAAGTACAAGTGTTGAGGGGTCTGAATTCAATTCCAGGCTTCAAGGGCAGTCTCTATCATACGACGAAGGCTTGCCTTTTTTTTTCACTTTTTACTGTGAATTGGGTGAAGGTTTACAGGAGGAATCCATTCTCCATTCCATAATTCATAGACATCGTACTGATTCCAACACCACTGATGTAGCATCATTTATCCAACTACCTCTCTGTTTTCCATGAAGAGTTCTTCTTTCTAATCCTTCCTATCTTCTGAATTTTGTCCTTGACCAAGAACTGCCTATTTGATCTGGTATGGCTGATGTTATAAGTAGTGTCTACCTCTCTGTGTTATGGCATGTTCTGAGGAGTGTCTACCTCTCTGTGGTATGGCATGTTCTGAAGAGCGTCTACCTCTCTGTGGTATGGCTGATGTTCTGAGGAGTGTAAACCTCTCCGGTGTTACTGTTCACCTAATAGACATGTTGGCTCTTTGGCTGCAAGTTGAGCTACAGGAGTGAGTTCCATTTCAGATAACATCTCAACAGCTGTCAAATCCAAACCATAGCGACCTCATAGGACAGAGCAGAGCAGCTCCCAAGGGCTTCTGAGACTGAAGCTTTTCAGGAGCTGGCAACTTTTCAGGTAACAGTTCACCACTTAACCCACTGTGCCACCAGGTTTTTCTAAGCATTCCAGTGATCCTCAAACACTTTTCTTTATAATAAACAAGCCAGCTTAGATGTCCTCTTTTTTATTATGGGATGAAACTGTTCAGACTAGTATCTCACTCACTGCCATGAAGTTGATTCCAATTCATGGCAACCCTATAGGACAAGGTGAAACTGCCACACTGGGTTTCCGAGACTCTAAATCTTTGCAAGAGTAGAAAGCTGCATCTTTCTTCCACACAGTGGCTTGTGGTTTTGAACTGCGGCCCTTGCAATGACCAGCCCACTGTGTCAACGCTGAGCCACCAGAGTTCTTACAAACTACCATGCAAGTCATGATATTGAGACCGAAACCCCTTGAAACTTGTCACAAAAACGAAAAAAGCTCCCTTACCTTTCCTGCCGAGCAGCCTGTGGGAAAGGCTTCAGAATCTCCACGTGGACTCTCTTCATTTCTACTTCTAATAAATAATTCTTCCCAAACTTGCTCTTTAGATGTTGAATGGAACCAATACACCTGCGTCCAGGCAAGGAAAAGAAGAACGGAAAGAAAAAATGCAGGCCTCTTAATGTCTCCCCCGTTTCAAAAACAGGAGAGACATTTTAATAATCCACTCAGCAGCTGATGAGGCTCAGCTGTGTCCACTGCACTGCTCTTCTCTGCAGAAGAATTGTTCTTCTGTGGGAGGTCAATGCCTCAGGGGGTTGTGTGGGGCTGGATGGGCGCCCACCTGAGCCTCCCGGACACCATGATGGCCACACGGTCGCACACGGCCTCGGCCTCAGCCATGTAGTGGGTGGACAGGAGGACGCCCCGCTCCTTGTTTCTGACTGTGCTCTGAATCGCCTGCCTGAACAGAAAGGGAAGGTTGCATTTACAAGAGGTCAATCAGAAAAGCAGATATACAGACACCAATACGAAGAGCTCAATAGGACATTTTTTTTTTTAACATTTTATTAGGGGCTCATCCAACTGTTATCCCAATCCATACACACATCAATTGTGTAAAGCGCATTTGTACATCGTTTCTCAAAACATTTTCTCTCCATTTAAACCCCCGACATTAGGTCCTCATTTTTCCCCTCCCTCCCTGCTCCCCCCTCCCACATGAGCCCTTGATAGTTTATAAATGGGTATTTTGTCATATCTTGCCCTGTCCGACGTCTCCCTTCACCCACTTTTCGGTTGTCTGTCCCCCAGGGAGGAGGTCACATATAGTTCCTTGTAATCGGTTCCCTCTTTCCTACCCATTCTCCCTTTACCCTCCCTGTTTTGCCACTCACACCACTGGTCCTATAGGGCTCATCCATCCTGGATTCCCTGTATTTTCAGTTCCTATCTGTACCAGTGTACCTCCTCTGGTCTAGCCAGACTTGCAAGATAGAATTCGAGTCATGGTAGTGGGAGCGGGGAGGAAACATTTAGGAACTAGAGGAAAGTTGTATTTCTCATCATTTTATAACAGGATACAAGGAAAGATCTTTGCTACATAAGAAGAAGAAAAATGTGCTTCCTTATTTACTGCTATGACCCTATTGGTTCATTGTGCTTTGTAAATGAAACCCCACAAAGAGCAGAAAAGTATAAAGTAAAATGTTCTCTGGAGGGGGGACAGGCGGGGCAGGGGGAGTAACATAGAAACACCACGTTGTAGTATTTTCCCTGGTGGTAGGAAAATAAAAGAGAAGAAAGAACAAGACGCAGGCAGGAAGGAGGCAGAAAAAAATAGCCCAACTGTGTCCTTCCGAGAGTGTCCCAGATTCTCCAATGTTCACTTTTCCTCTCTGAGGACTTCATGCGCTGGGCAGGCTTTCCCTGACTTCAATAATAGAGGGTGGGAGCCCCGCAGTGACTGCAGCCAGATTTCAATCAATACGTGAATGGAAACCACTGTGTACTCATCGCATGTGGCTCGCACACCCGGGAGGACGCTCTCACCACGTCTGCTGCTGCCCTTTGGGGTCCATCCCCGTGGACGGCTCATCCAGCAGCACCACCACCGGGAAGCAGAGGGTCTGGTTAAAGGAGCCTGTGGAAGTTGTTCTGGAGAAAAGAAGTACAAAGTGGATGGAAATTCCCCAAGATCAGTCGGATTCCAAAGTCTATACGTGACGCTTTCCATCATTCTTTTCTAGGGAGAAATCCAACTGACAGTAACAGTAACCTATGAAAGAGAAAATTAAAATAAGTAAATACAATATCCCTCTGATTATGGAAATCACAGACTTCATAGCAGCTAGTCTTTGGAAATCATAAATTATGCACATGACATGAATTCAATAAATTAAATTCCAAATCAAGATTATTTTCTAAATGTATTATGTTGCATAACATTTCAAAGTGCCCCCAAATACCAGGGCTATTAGAAATGTGTTGGAGGCCAAGGGCATTTACTGCTGGCCATGGTGGCTAGCCCAGGGCCCTGGGAAGAAGAGATCTGGTTGAATAAGACATCAGGGTCTCAACTTGTCTGTTGTGGTACTTTTGAAGGGAAAGTAGTCTGATTTCACACTGTGGCCTCAAGCTTGGAAGGGACACAACTGACAAGTACAAGTTTAACTTTCACCGACTTTCAGAAAATTCAAGAGTTTGGGGGCTCATTCAGAGAGGTTGATCCCCCTCTCCCCCACACCTCTGTCACCAATTGCCAATCATGCTCCTTCCAAGCCCCTGACTATCCAACCAAACCATTAGACACAGTCTATGGAGAAATGTACAGTCACACATCTGGCCATTTATGTTTCCAAGAAAAAATAAGAACTAGGTGTATTATTCGAAGTTCTGCCCATTGGGAGGATTTACTTTCACTGCTGTCCTTCAGAGGGGACTCCCAGAAGGGGCCTGGAGTGGTACCTGAAATGTTGGAGACAGATGTGCAGAACAGAGATAGAATTTAGCCAGGAATGTGAAGCTGAGAAAGATGTTATTGAGGCAGGGAAAGAACTCTGGGGAGGGGAAGGAGAGCAGGAAAAGGGACGGGTGCACAGTGAGCCCCCGGGCAGGTTCCACGACCCAACGAGCATGTGAATTTGGACCTCTTCTTTATGCAGCTTATTTGTACTTTCAGGTCCTGCTCGAGCCCAGTCTTGTACAAACCACTTTCGTTTAATGCTGGAGTGCTGCTGTGCATGCACAACTCCATGACTTTCCGAGTCAAGCAACAGCCAGCTCCTGACGACAGCTCAGGTCACATGCTGATTCTGTGGCCCATAGTGAGGCTTTCGGTTACTACTAAGGCCACATAACAACCAAAAAGTGCTTATCAAAAGGGGATCGTTGTCTGCAAAGGAGGGCAGGGCTTGCTCCAAAATCCTATAACGTTCTACTCCACGATTCACGATGAGGGCCCAGCCAAAGACTCCAAGCTGCATTTCCATTTGTCACTGCCCCTCAAGCACTTTTGGATCAGATGGTTCCAATGGCTCAATTAGGAAAGTGCCTTGAACAACAGCAGAGCCTTCTCTTGTTCTGGGTCCTCCTCGTACCTAGCCATTTTTTGAGTCACTGGATGAAGAGATCAGACTTGCACACGCAAATGAGGGATATGTTGCCTCCAAAGTCAAAAGAGGGCCACCAGTCATTATGCTACTTTTGCTGTTGTGAGACGGGCCAGCTCCTTCCCTTTAGTAGGAATATCTTGACATGCCTCCCATCACTGGACCCCAAGAAATTTCACCGAGGTGAAAAGGGTCTGATTTTTTGTCAGGTTAATTTCCCACCTTATAGCATGCAGATGGTTTACCAGTAAGTCTAAAGTCAGTGATATTTTCTCTTTTACTGGGTCCATCAGTGTAATGTCATCAATGCAGTGACCAGTGTAACGTGTTGTGGAAGGCAAAGGTGATCAAGTTTCCTGGGAATAAATGATGACCCATTGCTGGAAAATTGATAAAACTCTGAGGGAAGATTGTGAAGGTTTATTGTTGTTCTTGCCAGTCGAAGGCAAATTGCTTTGGTTTAAAAGCAGGATTGAGAAAAAGGCATTGATTAATAGCTGTGTACCAGGTACCAGGAGAAGTATTAATGTGCTTAAACAATGAAACCATATCTGGAATAACAGTTGCAATTGGAGTCACTACCCAGTTAAATTTTCAAAGATTCATTGTGACTGTCCAAGATCCTTTTGAGTTTTGCACAAATCTAAGAGGCAAAATTTTTAAAAAAAAAGAGAGGGGAATGATGGGAATCACCACCCCTGAAATTCTGGAAGTCCTTGATGGTGGCACTAATCTTTGCAGTCCCTCCAGGAATATAATACTGCTTTGGGCTTACTTATCAGTACTAGTTTAAATCCACCAGCAGCCCCTTGGGAGAAAGACTGGGCTTTCTACTCCTGTGAGCAGTCGGGGGCTATGAGTCACCATTGATTTGATGGCAGGGGGTTGAACAACAGAAACGTGGGTGAAGGGAGACAGCGGTCAATGTAAAACATGAAGATAACAATAATTTATCATCTATCAAGGCGTCACATGGGTGGGAGTGGGGGAAGGGAGGGAAGAAAAGAGGAGCTGATACCAAGGGCTCAAATAGAAAGTAAATGTTCAGAAAATGATGACAGCAACATATGTGCAAATATGCTTAATACAAATGATGTATGAATTGTTCAGAGCGGTAAGAGCCCCCAATAAAATGATCTTTTAAAAAAGAGTGCAAGCGCTACAATCAAATATATGGGAGTCAAATGGATTATAAAATGGTAGCCCTGCACGTTGTAGCACATGGACAAACTACCTACCCGTTCCCATGCTGTGCTCTTCTGTAAAATGGGTTTCATAATGGTAGTTACGTCATATGATATGGTTGCTCTGAGCAGTAAATGTAAGTCAAAGCTGACTAGACACTTACCAGCCTGTGACATAGGACACATCAGGAGCCCTAGTGGCACGGAGATTAATCCTTCAACTGGGAACCGAAAGGTCAGGGGTTCCGACCCACCAAATTCTCCCCGAGAGGATGCTGTGGAGGCAGTTTGCTCCCATAAAGATTACTATCTTGAAAACCCTATAGGGCAGTGGTTCTCAACCTCTGGGTCTCGACCCCTGATTCCTAACAGTAGCAAAATGACAGTGATGAAGTAGCAATGAAAATAGTGTTATGGCTGGGGAGTCACCACCACATGAGGA